CCAGTTCCAAAACATCACATCTCTAATAGCTCACATTTCAGAAAAACTCCTCACAGCGGGGTTACATGAAAATAATGCCAGCTACAGAGTAAGGTCAGTGGAAAATTATGGACTTTTTTCCCCTTTTTGTTCCATAACAGGTGACTTGTTTCTTTTCTTTACAATGTGGATTACACAGTTTCATCTGGCTGCCCGATAAGGACTTTTTCCAGGAAGCACAATATTTTATCCTTCCTATTGATTAATCTAATTTTAAAATGAAATAATTATAAACAGATAGTTACTGTCAGCTTCACACTTTCAAAATTTCACTTAAATACTATTCCGGAGCAGCCTTATAGGCATCAGTGGCTAAAATACTCTAATCATGCATTAAATACTACCAAAATACAATTAAATTAAAATATTAATTTTCTTTATCTCAGAAGGTAAGATGAGACAGTATGTGACTCTAAATAATAGAAATACCAAAATATATACAGCCCGAACAAACGAAAACATGTTTACCTCATTATAGAGAGCATCATTAAAAAACACAAAATCAGAATTACATATAAGGGCCTGCCATTTACAAACTAATATAATCTGTATTTAGCCCTGCTCTATGCTAATAAAGTGCCATCATCACCCCCATTTAATCAATACAGAGAAACTGGCAAAATTGGAAACTGGCAAAATCCCCTGCTTGTTTAAATTTACCAGCCATGTCTGGTTTGAACAGTAACATCTCATTAATTCCCAGCCTGGCAATTTAAAATACAAAGTTCAATGGACCTTAAGTATCAATTAATCAGCAAGAGGAGCCTGAAGAATAAAGAAAGTAACATCTCTTCTACATGAAAATCTTCCTGGTAGCAAGCAACATCAAATTAATCCCACATGTTTCATTACAAGGGATCACATCTGTTCATACTCATGAGCAGGGTGCTATCAATAAAGCTTATTCTCTTAGACTTTTTTCCCCATTCTGCATCAGTGTTATTGAGAAAGCAAAAGTATGTGAATGACAGGCCTCTATAAATTCTCTTTCTTCTTTAAGGTCTTCACTGAAATTTTAGAAAACTTTTCCTATTGTGATCCTGATCAGGTGAGTGCCAATCCATAAACCCCTGAAACCAACACACAGAGAAATCAATATTGTACAGAATATAAGGCCACACGGGAATGAATCCTTTCACCTGCGAAAGGAATGAGCCTCTGAAAGTTTGGATGTTCATATGATCTTTTCCAAACCAAAACCAGACCCATGAAACCTTCTGAGGTTCACCTAGCAGTTCCTGGCACCATATATAATCAAGTAAATAGAAGAACATAAACCTTAGAAGACAAAACATGAACAAAAACAAACAAAACTTTCCTTTCATTTTCTTCCATAACAACTTAAAGGTAACAAGATCTGCTAAAAAATTCAAAACCTCAGAAGGAAAGTTACTTTTTAAAAGAAGCAGCATGTGGGCTATTATTAAAGTTGTTTTTCTTTTCTTTTATAAAAAAAAAAATCTCCAATCCCAAACCCTCACTTGACTTCAATTGTGTCAGAATTTCATTTCAGTTTGGTAAACACTATCATTTTCACCTCTCAGCTGAAAATGGAGGTCTCCTCCAAACTCCTTTGGGACCTGGTGGCCTCTTTGCAGAGCCCTGAGATTGGGCTGTACAAAGAGGTGAAATAGGGTAGGAATGAGTAGAGGTAGTTCATGGTTGCTTGCACAGGAATATGTAAAACTCCTTTTCCCAACAAAATAATTCCCCCCCCCCCTCCAGCACATTATCTCCCGATCATAAATTAGAAATGAAGAAATAGGCTAAATGATAAACATATTCCCTTGAAATTTAATGCCATCTAATGTAAATTAAAATTAGAAATGAAAAAAATTCAACTGAAAGTTTAAAAAGAATATTTTTGACAGTAATGGTGATTCAAGACTATTAAGAATATTTTCCTCTGAAGTGTTTAAGGATTATTTGTAACTTTAATTTGGGGATGTAAAGAAGTTAACTTTTTTTCTTTTGCTGTACTATTAATGTAAAAAAAAAGATCAAAGAAAGAAAATAATTGAGATTCAAATTCCATTTTTAAGCAAAAATGACAATGTCTTCATGAGTTAATATTAATCCTTTAATTATGAATTTCAAAGGTTTAAATACTTTCTGTGACCTTGGCTTTAAATAATTATGCCAAGTGGAGCTTTCCTTAAATTCAAAAAAGATTCTGAATTGTTGATCATAGCCATTTAATGGCTTCAGGCTGGCAGATTTCCAACATAATCCTCAGAATGCTGTTTAAATTACGGACCAAGAACCTGATGCAGGTAAATGAAATGTCAATTTCACAAAGACCGTTTGAACCGTATATGCAGTGTCTTATTTTTTGTTGCTCCATATCATTTTGTAATCAAATGTGGAATTTACCACACTAATACATGTTAAAATATTTAAAACAACTGTATGCTTACATACACACATGGCCTATTTTAAACATCAAGTAGTTTTCATTTTAGTTTAGCACAATGTTTAAACATGTCCTTTGATGACAATTATTTTCTTTTCTAAGGAACTGAAAATATTATAAAATAGATTTTAAAGTCTTGGTGATCTTTTCTAGATAACTATATGCTGATTATGCCATTAAAAGCTGCAGCAGCCTAGGTAAGAATTTATTCCTACTAAATAAGAATCCAATAATGGTGATATTTTTAAAACAAGAAAAAAAACAAACCTCAATACAGAATAAGACTCTGATCTTGAAAACCCTTACCAACAAGCTTAACAATATTACCAAAAATAAGTGACATTTTAGTGAGATTACTCACACTAGAAAAGTTAAGCATGTACATAAGTGTTTGAAGGTACAGAGCCATAGTTATTTAAAAGGCCAGGCTCATTAGTTACTACTCCATCTGCATTAAACACTTAATCCTACAAACATGCACATGAATAACTTCAATCATACGAATAGTCAGATTGACTGCAATGGACCTGAATGAAGTTACTCACATGCATAACTGTTTGCAGGATCAGGCTCTATATTTAGGCTGGGATGTGCAAAGGAGCTTAAGGAAGCTAGTCACTCAGATCCCATTGAAACTTGGTCACCTAGCTACTCTCTTTTGAAAATCTCAACCTTCAGTGTTACTGCTATCTATACTTAAATATCTAGCAATATCTATTTTCTGCCTTGGTTCTTATGACTACATACTGGCAAAAGATATTAAAGATTTTGCTTTAATTTGGCAGTACAGTCACCAGTACTGTGAATTGAATACCTGCAAGACTTGTGATTTAGGGCACGTCTTCACTACCTGCCGAATCGGCGGGTAGCAATCAATCTATTGGGGATCGACTTATCGTGTCTAGTGAAGATGCAACAAAATCGATCCCCGATGGCTCTGCCGTCAACTCCGGAAATCCACCGCGGCAAGAGGCGGCAGCGGAGTCGACGGCGGTGCGGCAGCGGTCGACTCGCCGCCGTCCTCACAGCCAGGTAAGTCGACCTAAAATACGCAACTTCAGCTATGCTATTCACGTAGCTGAAGTTCTTGTGGCACCTTAGAGACTAACAAATTTATTAGTCTCTAAGGTGCCACAAGTACTCCTGTTCTTTTTGCGGATACAGACTAACACGGCTGCTACTCTGAAACCTGGTAGCTGAAGTTGTGTATCTTAGGTCGACCCCCCCCCCGTAGTGTAGACCTAGCCTTAGTCTCTGCAGCACCAAACAAACTGAACCACTCCCATTAACAGTCTAGATTTCACCCAGGACATGGAGGTTGGATCCAATCTCAGATGAGTAAATGGATACAAGAAAAGCTAAAATATGTATATGCAAGTTCCTTAGTGCCAATGAGCCAACATCCTAAGGGAAATGGTAATGATGTTAGCTGACAACACTGGTAAACGATCACATCTAAAGAACAGGAAATGGAGAAATGTACATAGCAATTTTTAAAAAAAATTGTAAAATGTTATTGTGGAAATTCAAAATACCATCTTTTAGAAGCATGACATTATTTAAAATGTACAGAGATTGTTGAATACACAGTTTTCTAAAATATTAGTATCATAACATATAACCATTTTTATTTCTATATCACATAGCAGTGAGGTTTCCACACTTCTATCAGAGTCCATTTCTTTGTGTTCCTGTCCTTAAGTATTTCGAATCTTGCTGATTTGTATCAAAAACACCTGCTCAGTGCTGAATGAAAGTGAAGCCCATAAAAAGGAGTCAACATTCAGCCAAAAACAGCCATACACGGAGTCATACTATGAATGAACTAAGCATAAGGTGGGAGAAAACACCAGTGTGTTTTAAAACATGAATCCCCAAACTTAAACATTTCACACCCCTCTTCCCAACCTTCCCTCCTCCCCACCCCACAAAATTGATCTCTGAGTCCTTACTTACTAAAACAAAGACAAGCACACAAAAGCTTTCCCCCTTTTATACTGAAGGCAATTTATATCCAGATACTTGTATCCTGAACTTTCCCCCTTAAACTGTTTTTTGACAGAGCAAAATACATGGATTAGTAAAGTAGGATCTCCCTTGTCAACCCCATCCTAATCAAGAAAAAGCGATAAACCCCATCCTGGATTGAAGCTGCATTTCAAATCATGCTGTTATTCTGGTCTACCATTTCCCCCTACTTAAACTACTGTATACTAGATTGGTGTTCTGATCCTACTGCTACTTCTGTTAGAGTGTGGCACTCTGTTGGGGAAGAAGGCTAGTCAAAACAATAGTAATTATCACCATGAAATCTGCATTTTGTTATCATAGAAGCCTTTCATTCAAGGACCTCAAAACTCTGAGCCCCTCCGGCCCTGAATGCCATAGGATTTGACAAACTCTGATCTGTAGCAGTTTCCTTTATTTAAGTGATCTCACTACTGTTATTGATTTGTATAATTTGTTATAGAGTGTGTCACTTCGGATACATTGTCCCTCACTTGCTATGACCTAACCAGGTTTGTGCAGTATCATGTGAATCTCTTACCTTTTCCAATGTCATCTCTGTCTCTGCAGCATGTGTCCTTTTCAGGTCTAAGGCCATCTTTTCCGACTCTGCTTTAAGCTTATTCACTGCAGTCTCGTGATCCCGAGCAGCCCTCTGCTTTTCTTCTTCCCGCAGAAGGCTAAGCTCTACCAACTGTTGCTTCCGCTGAGCATTTACCTGAATAAGCTCTTCTCTCAGCTTGTGGATTTGGGCCTCCATATCATGGATAATCTTAAATTAAAAAAAAATGGAAGAACACTGCTTATATGACTTCTCTGATCAGACTGTTATCTAGCATAGGGAACAAGCTAGAAGAATTCCCTTTCTCCCCTCCCATCAGAATTCATCTGCACTTTAGGATTCTCCCTTTCTCTTTTACCCTGCCTTTGCCTTCACACACAAACGGGAAAAGCTTCCTTCTGGCCAAAGTTTGGATGAAGGCTATCAGCAATGCCACAGAAGCCAGCAAGAAAAGCCTGCTTTAAGGCCAAGGTAGAGTTCCAAACTTAGTACCCACTCACCCTCCCTTTCACGTCACCAAACAATCAGCTTTACCATTCATTTTGTTCATTCTTCCAGTCCTGGCTTTGTATCTTTTCCTATACTATTTCCTCTCAATCTCAATGTGCCAAGCCCCCACCCTCTTCTTATTAAAATCCCTCCTTAAGACACTTCAGTAAAGTCTACACACACAGGATGCAGCTCCAGGGCTAGCTAACACTGTTTGTGAACCTGTCAGGCAGCTAGAGGATACAAACATGTGATGCCCAAGGCAAATTTTTTTAGTGTATGTTAAAAAAAGATTTTTCTGTATTAACAGGATTTGGGTCAACCAGTGCTTCACCCACCATAAATGAAAATCACTTATAACTGATAGTTACTGAGTGTAAACCACATTCCTGGCTAGGGTAGACCATCTAAACAATGACTATAACATGTATCAATTTGAAACTTACAGTCTTTGGCAAGGTAATTGGAGGAAGATGGACCTGGATATTATTCTAGATTTAGTTATGATCTGATAAAGTGCTCATGACAAAGTTTAGCAAGGGCAGCACAATTAATAGAAAAATACTGAGCTCAAAACTAAATATAACAGTCCTACCGTTCATAAAACCACCCTAGTTAAAGACATCCAATCCAAGAGAAGAACAACAAAAAAGGTAGAGCTCAAAAACAAAATAATACTGTCAAAATCATGAAAAAATTCCTTCCTTAGAGGTTTTTAAGGTCAGGCTTGACAAAGCAGTGGCTGGGATGATTTAGTTGGGGATTGGTCCTGCTTTGAGCAGGGGGTTGGACTAGATGACCTCCTGAGGTCCCTTCCAACCCTGATATTCTATGATTCTATGACTGACCAAAGCAGCTTTGGTGTATGATATGAAACTTGGTAAATTTGGGTTCTGATGAAAAGTAAGTTTGAAAACGGAGCATTAACCGTGAGACCTCTGCCACTGATTTCCAGGCACTGAGAGACAAGACAACCCAACAGACCCCAATTGTCATGAAGGAACGCAGCCACTTAAACAACAGGGTTCTAGCCCTTGTAAGACTTACAGTATGGTCATTAAGGCCTAAAACCGTACCCTGAAATGAACAGGTAGACAGTGCAGACAATGTAGCTAAGCATATTGACTTTCCTCAATTGGAAGACAGGCCATTGTGTTCTGAACAAGATGAAGCACCTAAGGGTTCATGAAGGGCCACATAAAAGAGAGTGCATTATTGTAATCCAGCCTGGAGATGGCAAAGACATGGGTCACTGTGGCAAAGTCTGCATCTGAGAGGAAAGATGACTGGCTGACTGCTAATAGAAGAAGACACTACACAGGACCATCATTATCTACATACCAAGAAGCCATGAAGAATTTAACAAAACCTCAAGGCTCAGCACTATGTTGATAAAGGTGCAGTCTTTCTTCTCTCTATGTGAATTCCCAAAACTAGCAGCAACACTTCCATCATGGCCAGATTCATTCCCAGCCAATTCCTTCCCATGCATCTCCAAATCTTGGTTAGACTTAAAGAACGCACAACAACAGATGACAGAGGTTGATGGATTGCCAAGACTCATCTAACTTGTCTCAGGCAAGGGATAACATGTTCAAAAGTAGCAGAGTGACTTAGGAGCCTAAATCCTATTAGGTGCATTTGAAAATTTTACAAAAGAAAGGTCTTCAGATGCAATAACAGACTACCCTAATTATAACACAGTACTTACAGCCCAGGATTTAGGTTTTGTGCAGCTCTGGCATTCAGAAGATGGAAATTACAAAGCCACAGTACTAATAGCCTTGTAGTATTTACTGGGAGACATTTAATAGGTACCCCTTATACGTAACTTATTTAACTAATGTTTGGGATCAAATTCAGAAGTGACATACAAAGGGTGAAAGTTATATGTCTGTAAGTAAGCTGCAGGGATCTAAATTATTCTAACTTACACTTGGAAGAGGCTGAAGGTATAAGTTATGGTAGGAGTTGCTACTTTAGATTTACAATTTCTTACACACTCTTCAGTTGTTTTTTCAGCAATCTCACTCTTTTCCAGCTCCTCAGAATGTAAGTTTCACAAAGTTAGACTCGTCTACCATATATAATTTATATCATTTTATGCTTCATCTCTTGGGGTTTTGAAAAGGATGTATTTACACAATTTTGTAACCTTTTGTGGCATTACTTGTTTCGGTAAATAAGACTGAATAAAGTGATCAGTTCACAGCTTCAGACATCTTAGTCAAGGGAACACTGAACACATTTGGACAAGTGAGGTTCTGGATAATCAAGGGATTTTTCAAGATAATTAAGACACTGAGAACCTGGCTCCATTTGGATAAAAAGGAACTGTGGGTAACCAAGTGTTGTTAATCTAGGGATGTACTATATTTCTAAACACACAGTGCTTCTATTAATAGAATTTTCATGATGTGGATTCTTGTTCCATCTTCCTTTCCCTGGTCTGTAATTTTCTAAATGTGAATTTCTTTCAAAAGATTCATGATTTCAACTAAGCTTTGCATTCGATATTGTCCAATTATTCCTGACTTTTGTCTATCATATGTTGAGTTCCTTTAGAAGATAACAGATTGTCTCCTTGGAAGCAAAGTACAAAGTAATAGAAGATAATGAGAGACATACAAGAATTGCATTCTACTATTCTTTTATTGATTTAATCATTTCTAGTAGGTTTTTCATGAACGTTTCCTTCAATATATTTCCATCTTGCTACTATAAAGTAAAAATGTTCTTATTTTAAGAATTACAATACATGCCGTAATGAACCTACATTTTTATTTATATGTAGTTTTGAACAAGAACATTTTCACTGAAAGATTATACACTTTGTGTGTGTGTGTGTATTTATATATAGAGAGTTATAGTTATAGGTTAGCTCATAGGAAACAGTTCACTGGGATCCATTCACATACATGTCATAGCAATTATATTTTCAATCTATGTCCAATAATTACTACACATAAATGCTGCTACCATTCAAATGATTCAATAGCAGAAATTTAGAAATAAATATCTACATATGAAATATTACTATGATTTTTCATTGTGAAAAGTACAAATAGTCTTACTGTAATCATCTTGAAATTATCTATTTGAATTCAAGATTTTACAGCTAAAGTTTGGTGAGAAGCTTTATAACAAGCTTGTGTTATAAACTGCCCAAACAAATTCTGAATGGCTTGGAATGCTAATCGTTGCTTTTAGGTCTCTGTACTACTTTTCTCTTCAAGTACTTCATTCCTAAAAGGTGTGTGTATGTTACACGTTTATACTGTAGCATCTACAGTCATCGAAATAAATTATGTTTAACATTCTTTCATAATATCTGAGAACTATGTTAGCATCTAGTAAACTTTGAAGAAAAAGGAAATGCTCCATTCACAAAAGTACTAGACAAACTAAGTACATTTCTAACCAAAGTTGATAACTAAATCGTAAATACTGCATTGTGCATTGGTGTACCCCCCCCAATTCATTATGCTAATATAAGTATTAACCTTTCTTGGAAAGTTGTTATACAAGATTGTTTTTGACTTTCTTGATTATTCATTGAATTATTCCCTTTGTGTCAAAGTTATACATTTTCTGTGTATGTGTATAGAGAGAAAGTATATCGTGTGTGTGTGTGTGTGTGTGTGTAGCAGGTACATTATTTTTGTGCAAAAGTATGACCTACTAGCTACACATGTTAACTACATCAGCATTATTGCAAACACATGATCTATATCAGAGGTGGCCAACCTGTGGCTCCGGAGCCACATGCGGCTCTTCAGAAGTTAATATGCAGCTCCTTGTATAGGCACTGACTCTGGGGCTGGAGCTACAGGCACCAACTTTCCAATGTGCCGGGGGTGTGCTCACTGCTCAACCCCTGGCTCTACCACTGGCCCTGCCCCTACTACACCCCTTCCTGCCCCCTCCCCTGAGCCTGCCGTGCCCTCGCTCCTCCCCTCCCCCCCCCCAAAGCCTCCTGGATGCCATGAAACAGCTGATCAGGAGGTGTGGGGAGGGAGGAGGGAGGCGCTGATTGGTGGGGCTGCCGGTGGGCAGGAGGCTCTGGGAGTGGGGGCAGGGGGCTGCTGACGTATTACTGTGGCTCTTTGGAAATGTACATTGGTAAATTATGGCTCCTTCTCAGGCTCAGGTTGGCCACCCCTGATTTATATAATGCAATCTGCATTCTTTTCTGTTCTTTTCCTCTGTACATGGTTAACTTTTTAAAATTAAATTTGTATACATACTAAAACAGTATACAATCTATCATATACCATTTATAATTATTTCAGTAATTCGTTATGGCTCTGAGCTAAAACTAAATTTTAACAGTGTAACTGGCTTCTATTTGAATGAAGAAATGTTCTATTGGTGAAAATAGATGCTTTTCATTTCTATAGAATTTTGGGCTTTGAGTTCTTGATAGACAGATGCAATGTTTACTTTTAAATGCACTGCTCTGTTATAAGGCCTGCCTGGAATTTTATTGATTATCTCTATGTATGAGGTTTTTTTCCCCTTACAAACGAACAAAAAAAGCTTTAAAACATTACATCTTTCAAACAGCTCCTAAAAAAACAAGAAAGTGTGTAGGATTAGAAGCCAAGGCTAACCTGGTGGATTCCAATGAAAATATATTCATAAAACATACTGGCGAGTTCCAGTGTCATCTGTGATTGTTCCCTGTACTATGCGGTCCTGTATCGGATAATTTGGAAATA